GGCAGGTTACTTATATAGGCGGGCTGCTTGTGAAATATATTATTCTCTTCTAAATTAGTCAGATTTCTTAAGTTAGTTAAGTTATTTTGTTGTAATATAGTACTAGCTTTTTAACAACAAAGGCGGGTTTAGAGGACACTATAAATCTTTGCTATAGTTATGACCTTAAGATTTTAGTCTTTTTCAAGAGTCTAAAGAGTAAGGATAACACAGGATTCAACTAAAGTTGATTCTATAGTTGAGTGGTAAGGAAAGTGTGATTGAAGACCAAGAGCAGCAACTTAAGTAGGAAGGTAGCCGCTTGCTATATGTGGCCGCTCGCTATACAGGTATATTAAGTCTTTATAAGTTTGTCTTTTTCTTTGTTATATTTCTTTAATTACTAATATAGATTCTAAAGTATATTAGTTTAAAGCCTTTAAAGAATTCTTTAACTATTATTTAAAGTCATCTTATCTTTAAATAAAGTTTAAGTCTAATTAGAGTTATTATTTCTAAAGCGTTATTAGAGTCTTATAAAGATATCTTATAATAAGATTTATTTAATCTGCCTTTAACTTACCTAGTTTTAATTACTATTAAATTATCTATTAAAACTAAGCTACGTTATAGCTTAGTTAGTGGCCAAGTCCCTTGAGGGCCAAGTCCTAGCAAGGCTAAGGAGCCCCCTAAGGGCTCTATGTTATACAAGTTGCTGCAGCTAATGCTCTAGTTAAAGCTTGGCATTAGGATTAACTAGAATATAGAACTCAACTAAAGTTCATATAAGTAAATATATTAATATAAGGGCATTATGCAATAAATATGTAACGTAGTTGCTATATATAGACTCTTATCTATGTTCCGGCTTGTATTAAATAGTCTTATAGTTGTTTAGAGCTTCTTTATGCTCCTTGGCTGTAGTCTATATAACAGACTAGATGCTCCCTAGATAGCTCGAAGATATAAGCAATTCAACTACATTAGTAAGACACTTCTACTCTATTAATACTTAATTATTCTTAATTGACTTCTATTTACTTCCGCTATTCCATCTTTTTATATTATCTAAAAGGTTAAGAACTCCTTTAACTTTTTAAGGTTCTTAATAATAGTATAATAGCTTTATAAAGCAGATAAACTTCTTTATCTTATAAGATTCCTTACTCTCTAATAATTTTCTTTTTTTAGATATTTATTTTATAAGTGTTATTATTTTACCTGCGTTTTATAGAGTAGGTATATCTCTTAGTTTCTTATATATATTTATTAACTTATATTTGGCTTATCTATAACTTATTTATAATTATAGTCTATTAATCTGTAATTCTAGTTAGTCTTATATTAAGCTTATATAATATTTAAGTTTATCTTCTTTAGCCTTAAATTCTTTTTCTAAGGCCTTTTTATTGTTATCTTTAGATCATTTATCACTAGAGAAAGAAAGAGGAGTATTAAAAGAAATTCCCTCTTCTATATATAATGTAGCTGACTCGCTTATATTCTGCAAGTAAGTACTTATACCTTTTATATAATCTTCGCTTTTAGTCTATGTCTGTTTATCCTTCCGCTAGTGTATAGCTGCTCTATAAGTAAATATAGCTATTACTAGATAGCTCTCTTATAACAAATAGGATTAGATTATTTAAAATTATTAGGGATACTTAGGGTCTTAAGTAATATAATAATCTAGTATATAAATAATATGCGCTTTATAGTTATAGAGTATTATTAGTAATAGTGACAAAGGATAAGCTTCTGACTTCTATAAGTTGAATAATAAAGAAACTCTGACTTCTAGAGTATAGAGTTCCCTTGTTATAAGTGCGCGCGCGCTAAGCGTACGTAGCATGCTTAGTACACTTCGCAGCCTTAGCGTAGCATAACAAATACATCTTATATAAAAGATCAACTATATCTTATATATAATTAATCTAAGGCAAGAATCCATATAAATCTAGATTAAGGATATATTTTCTAAATGTCTCTTCTTTAGCTAAAGTCAAATTATATTAGGCATTATATTTTTTAGCCTTTAAGATATAGCTCTTTATTTGATTATAAAGAGTACTTTAAAGAGTATTATATATCTTTGTAATATATTAGATTAATATTTCTTAGTATATATAGATAGCCTAAATAATAAAGAAAATTCTAGCTTTTTAAATTTAAGAATTTATTATATTATTATATTATAACTAACGTGATTAACTATTACTTTACTACTTCTATTACCTCGCCACTTTTTATATAATCTCTCAACTTTTATGTTTAATTACAACTATATAATATAGAAAAATTAATTAGAATTAATTATATTATCTTTGTCTAATAATTCTTTAACTACTAAATAAGTTTAAATATTATGTCTAGCCTTTCTATATTATTTATAGCATTAAATAGTTATAGGCTCTGTCTTTAATTAATCTCTTTTATTAATTGTTTTTCTCTTCTTTTAATTGCTAGAATTCTTTGTAGTAATTAAGACTTAAGCATCTTCTATAGTAAGTATATTATCTTCTTAGATTCTAATATACTTAGTTCATTAACGTGGTTTATAAACAGCCTGCCTATACAAGCAACCCGCTTACTTTTCTTTTATTTTGTAATCTTCTAACTATTATACATAATTATAATATAAGAAAATTAATTATTTTCTATATTATTATCTTTCTTAGATGTCTCTTTAATCTCCTAATAGGTTTATATATTATGGTTGGTCTTGCTATATCTCTTATAATGCTGTAGGCCTAATGACCTAGTCTGTGTGATACCCTCTTTTACTAATCTTCTACTCAACTGTGATTATATAATCTCTTTCTGCTTAATTAAATTATATATATCCTCTATAGTAAGTACACCTCTGCCTTGTACGCATGTCTTTTTAGTCTTCTAATGCTTTGCAAGAGCCTTATTAGTCTTGCAAAGCGCACAGATATTCTTATATAAAAGAGTTATTTAATAAGCAATTAGCTCTGTACTCTTTACTAATTACTTTATAATTAAAAAAACATTAGTCAAAGAGCTTTTTTAATATCTAATAATCTGATTTTGTATATGCTCTAATTATAAAATAGCGTCATTAGAATTATATGGTATCTAAGAGACCTATAGGTCAGCCTAAAAGAGAGGAGGTCTAGTTAGTATTAGTGTTTATAACTTAATATTAAGCTTAAATAAGACAGCCTAAGGGTTATACAACACAAGACTAATACCTTGAAAGCTAGCATTAATGTTTTTAGCTATTATTATATTAAAGTATTTAATTATAAAATATTAATATTATTAGCATATAAATAATAATCTTAACTTTTATATCTTTTTTACTTTAGACTTCTAACTTATATCTGCTCTTTATTACCTCTAGCATATTCACTTTTGCTAGAACTAAGAACCTAGCTCTATCAGTTAACTATTATCCTCCTTAGGCGTAGCCGAAATAGAGCTTTAATATTTTGGTATACTGTAGCGCTAAATACAACATAAATATGTTAATGCGTGAATAGCACCGCACGCTAAAGGAAGATGGTGGGAAAGTATGATGCATCTCTCTAGATTTTCTGGCTAGGGGCCTTGGTGGGAATTCGGAGGCCTCAAAGAAGATGGGAGCTGGTGATCCGGCGGTGGCGGGCCCTTTCATCAGAAGCGTTGGTCGGCCACTATCACGGATCTTCATCGCTTTTTGTCCTCTGCAACCGCTTCCGATCACGCGCCCGGGCTGCAAGCAATGCTACTCAATCTGTTGCTTCCCTGCAAGACATGCTGCGGAATTGGTGTGAGATTGCTGGTGTGACGTACCTTTCCTGTTCTACAGCGACCAGTCCATCGACCATCTCCTGCCTAAGCAACAGACCGACACCGCCTGCTTGCTACATCAATAGCGCAGGGTGGATGCAATCCAAAAGCTCTCATCGTAAGGTTGCGTGGATCGTTGATCAACTGCTCACAACGATCGAGCTATTTAAACATGCCCAACAGCATCAGCTGATACCAGTACCTCCACTAGCCTCTGTGGCTTACATGATACTATCCAACCCGTCACCCCATAGTCCGTCTCTTGGCCCTTAGCTAGTCAGGTTCTCCACGGCACTCTTGCAGGCAGACCTGTGGAATTTCTCTTTCTGGCCAACACCCCCGGCGAGCGCTACGCCAGATCTGCTCGCTCAGATTTTTGGCTCTTCTCAATGTCTTTCCAACTGCTCGGGACAGTCTACGCAATGACCCGTAGCTGCTCCAAAGCCCTGCGCCGTATAGAAGCGTCAGCGGACCTATAAAGAGTCGGATATTCCTGCAGGAAAGAACGGGCCGAGTCCACTATCCGAGTTTCTTGACTCAAGCCTGGAAACGCCCTTTCACCTGATATAATGATTACTACCGTTCAGGTACCGTGACAAGAGCCAAAGAGCAATCACCCACGAAGATTATAGAAGATGAAAGGAAAGCACTATTAATCCAATCTGAGGTAGGACAGCCATTAAGTGGTGAATTATGCTTCCAAGCGTTTTGCGACAGTTCAAGATGATTCGTACTACGACATAATCAGTATCAGAGTGTCAGCGTATACTAGTTTTCATCTCTTAAGTCAGCTTTTTGGACTGAACCTTTTCAAAAGTCTAAAGGCGCGGGTACGTTACGGAGACTGAAATGTCCAGCTTATTGTATCTATTTAATCTGGATGTATCAAATGCATAACTGGGACAAATCGGAAGGGCCGAGTCTATTTGCTGAAAGCCAACCCTCTACCTCAATTCTACTTCAACGAAATCTCGATGATCGAATCCCAGCTGCCCTTGGGCTTGAAAATGCGCGTTAGTTCGAGGCAAGAATCTACCGCGCGCACAACTTCCCGCCACTCGGGCTCACTCCGCTCCTGCGTATTAAGCATTTGAAGCATAGTCACATCCACATTTCTAAAATACACAATTAGCACATCGCATCTCGCAACCGTGTTCGTCAAAAACCATGCAACAACATACCTCATGTATCGCTCGGCGACACTCGACTCCTCCATGTTCGACGGCATGACAACAACTTCTATCAGCAAGATCTTGCTCCCGGGCTTCATCACCGGCACGATTTCTCGAATGATCTTGGCGCAGTTTTCGGTCGACCAATTGTGGCAGATGTGACGCATGATGTACACGTCAGCCTTAGTAGTCGGCTGCGGGTCGAAGAAGTTGTGCGCCATGAATTCCACCCGGCCGGACAATTCGGAGGGTAATTGAGCGGCGCCTTCTTCAATGGTGTGTTTGTAGTCTTGTACAACCAGCTTGGTCAAGTTTGGATGGGCCTTTGCTAGCGCTACGCTCATGAAGCCGGATGAGCCGCCAACCTATCCACTCATTAGCTTCAAAGAATTGTCAGTTACGAAAAGCGCGGGCAACTTGCATCGACGATGGTAGCATTCCCGAGTTCTGCCCACGGGTACCCATTCACGACATGCTGAAGGCTGTGGCCGGGGTCCTTGCCAACGCCCTCCATTGCGCCGAAGAAGCGAGCCTGTCGGTCGGGATGTTGCTCAAGGAACTTGTAAATGGGCTCCTTGGTGTTGAAGGCAAGGCAGAAAGCACTGTCCTCCGCCGCCGTGCTGCCCTGGTACTTCTCCAGCGCCTCGGCGATCTTGGCGCTGGCAGGGAACATCTCCTCGACACAGTGTCCGTACCAGTCCATCATGGCGTGATTTCGCAGAAGCAGGGCGGATGAGGCGGTGTGAATGACATGATCGGGGCTGTTCTCGCGCAGCACGCGGTTCATGGCGGATTGGCGCACAATGGCTTTGACCTGCGGTTCGGACAGACCAACCTTCGCTGAGATCTCCTTATACGTGGCGCCGCCCTCGAGCGGAATGGTCTTGAGAAAGTTGAAGTGGTAGATGCATTGCTGGACGGAATTGTCGATAGCCTGGGCGTACATCTCAGGTAAGAATTCCTGCACAATTCGTGGAATCAATATATCATTTCACTTACACCCCAGCAAATCCGACGCAGGACCTCTCCCGGGCCAATGAGCATGTCATGAAGCATATTCGTGTCGTCCAGGATTGCCAATCGCGCGACCTCAATCTCGGCATCACCGGCAGTGGAAGGGAATTCCTCCTCTGCATCCTGCTCGAAGGACGGCATTTTGGCGTTCTTGCTGATCAGCCATTTCTCGACCAAGGCCGAGTTGCTGGCAATCCTCTCGCCGAGCTCTTTGATGGAAGCCATGTTAAGTAGATATATGTTGAACGTACAGGGCAATTGATTGGCTGTACTAGAGATTGCTGTTGGATAAAAATGAAGAAATGGCTCTGTTCGTTCCAGATATATGACAAAAAAGAGTCGCAGGAGCGCACAGACCAACAGCAATCTTTCGTACAGCTAATCGATAGCCCTGTACGTTCGACAATATACAATACTGCTGCTGCCAAGTGGCCATCATGGCACTGACTTACTGCCATATTTCATTCATTTCGCGATCTCCTTTAGGTACTGTGTCACAGGCTAGCATTTCGATACTGGATCGGACCCCGGCTGCCGACGAGTATTGGGACCAAGCTGGGTGCCACATGCGTAGCGGTTGCTCATTGCAACGCGGCATAAGTTGTTAGAAGTGATCGACCTTCATTTGTGCGACCAATCGGAAGCCACGGATATACCAGGACTCTCAGCTCTAGAAGTTTTTGCTCTTCGGCTAACGTTGTGCATTTGTTCTAGCGATCCTTTGCTCTGAGAGCATACGAAAGCTGTATCTCATATGACGTCAAGCTTATCGGCGTATAGGATAGAGTTTTGAGGATCGCTTGGTCGAGATTATCCTGCAAGGGCAGATCTCAAAAAGACAATGTGTTACTAAGCAGAATAAGCCGCCAAAAAGGGAAATATCAGGAGTTGCTTTTACATGTTCCTTACTTTTCAACAGGCCGATACTCGTTTGCTGCATGCTTTGCCCTTGCCTATTCAGCAACATATGAGCGGCATATGAGCGGACTATGTAATAATTCACCAGTCGAAAAATGAGTTCGAGTTGCCAGGCGCTGCTTGCCAGGATGAGACCATATTACCTTACTGCGGCGCATTGCCAGTGCAACGTTCTGCCTCTCCCCCATCCCCCAGTCCTTGCCAGCACAATAAACAAATTGTGATTGCATCAGTCATGACGCACGCCGGTTACACTGAGCGCTGAATCAGTGATGATAGATTGTGATACTGTGTAATCGCGCTACAAAACGATGACGAATATGAGGGCATAACTTACGAGGCTGGAGATTGCGGGGCTAACACTAAAGTGCGCGGCCCCCGGGGCCCGAGCCGGGGCCGAAGGGCCCTTGCGATTGAAATGTGGTTGCCCCTAGTCACTCACATATCTCACCTATATAGTAACGCGCCTTGACGGCGCGCAGCCGCCAAGTCATCTTCTTCACTCCCTGGCAATCTATCCAAATAGAATAACACCACATTAAAATGGCTAGTTACCTTATCACCGGTGCATCGCGGGGCATTGGGCTTGAGCTCACCAAACAGCTGCTCGAGCTGCCGGTGTCCCAAGTCGGCAAGGTCTTCGCCGTCACTCGTAGTGGCCCATCCGCTCCTCTACGGGGCCTCATAGACAGGAATCCAGATCGCGCCACTCACATCATCGCCTCGGTCGACGACACGGAAAGCGTCCAGAGAGCAGCCAGAGACGTCAAGGCGAAGCTCGGTGGCCAGGGACTGGACGTCCTGGTCAACAACGCGGGCCAACAGGCAATCAGCCCCGGCGGCACCAAGACCGCCCCGCCCGAGCAGCTGGCGCATCTGTTCGACGTCAACGTGATCGGCCCGCAGAGAGTGACCGCTGCGTTCCTGCCGCTCCTCGAGGCGGGCAACCAGAAGAAGGTCATCAACGTGTATGTCCCCCTTTATCTGGGACCAAGTACCAAGATTTGGCGCAAGGAATACTGACTTTTCTGGCAATAGTACATCTTCGATGGGATCGATCGCATGGGTGGACAGATACAAGTGTGCGCCATCTCCGGCCTACAAGATCTCCAAGGCTGCCCTGCACATGTTGAACGCGCAGTACGCGTTGGATCACGCAGAGGCTGGTTTCACCTTCCTCTGCGTCTCTCCCGGAGTAAGCACATACACCATTAAAAACTAGACTGGACTACGAGATTCAATGCTGACGCTTCTTGGTAGTGGCTGAAAACCGATCTGGGTGGTGAGTATGCTGACTTCGATGTTGGGGTTGGCGTTACCGAGCTCAAGAGGATCATCCTCGAGTCAACCAAGGCACAGAACGGCAAGTTCCTCAACATCCTCGTCCCCGGAGAAGAGAAATCGAGGGGCCAGTACGATGGAGGAGAGATCCCGTGGTAGGGAGTTGGAGTCACTGTCGATGCTGCTGCACCTGTCCCTTGAGGTTGTGATGGCATAAAGCTATTATGCATGGAGCAGGTACAAGGTTGCTGGTGGACATGTATTCAATCTCTGAATGCTTGACGGTCTATGGAGTCGTGCCCTAGGAGTGGTCAAACCACGCTCATTTCGAATCTCTACCAACAATGCTTAATGCTGAACTAGCTTAAATGTATGGCTACTTGAGTAGCTATCACACTTAAAACAGCCTATAAACTCCACCAAAGCTTAAGTTTTCTTTGGGCCAATCTTCACGGGATAGACCACCTATGTCGCATGGCTGTAAGTGCTAAGGCTCGTCTAAGCAAACTTACAAGTCTCCGCTACATAATTTAGGGTTGAGGGCGTAGCCTACCCTACAGCTACTACTAGTTAGCTCATACCTGAATACTAGCGTGGCTTGACTACCTATAAGGCACGACCCTGTATGCCTGCCTCATAGCACCAAGGACCTACCGGACCCGTCATTCAGAGGCGTGTTCTAGATGATAATTAAATTCAAAAAGCACTCTGTTCCTAGCCGGGACTGACTCATTGTGTCCGAACGTTTACGCCTTTCGACCTTCCAGGTCTGATGAATACTTACTTGTAGTGTCCATGAAAAGGGATCGATGAAACACAGATCGTACAGAAGAACGTGCTGAGATTTCATTGCAAGGCCCTTTCAACAACCGATTATGGCCTGCCTTTATATCACTCCTTTCTGAACAGTGAAACTTTATATGATTTATAAGCGTAGGCCACACAAAGAAAGACCACTCTTGGAGGTTTCATTCGCACGAGAACAATCAGCTGGGGAGTTAGCGGACCTCGGGCCTTGGATGAGAATTTATATTTTCCGCGCGGTCGAAATCAGAAGATAGCTGGTATCCAAGCAGTCAATTCCTACGATAATGTAGAAATTGCATCGTTCGGCAGTGCTCACACAAGTGGTCATCAGACACCCAACATTGACCAGTCTTCATTCTTGATGTACTCCTCGACACTGCTCAGTCCTGGAATCTCGATGCCAAGCTAGAAGCACAAGTCAATATCGGCTAGACGCTCTCGCAAGCTGATGAGTGATTGGTCTCACCTCTTCCCTTCGCTTGCACGCTGGATCTCCGCCATCGTACCCATATATGCCCATGAACTCGAACATCTCACCAATCTCAGTTCCAAAGCCCTGCGGAAAGGTTTTGGACAGCTCTTCTTCGTAGAAATCCACGCCCACTTGTTCGAACTTGACCTTCTTATCCAAAATGCGGCCCCACAGCGCGAGCCAAGTGTTCCAGCTCATCAAAGCTGTCGCGCCATATAGCTGTATCCCTGGCTCCAGGGTCAACAGCGCACGTACGAACGGACCGGTGTCATTGTTAGGGTCGACAAAAGGTATTGGTGTGTTGGGATTGCACGGCATCGTTAAGACGTGCACTCCACCGTCCATCCTTCGCGGGGCCATTACGGGTGCGAACCTCCAAGCCCGGAAAAATACGCCCATGTTCAACTCACTCATCTTCTTGGCAAGGTCTGGATACGTCGACTTGACGTAACTTATCATGTCAGCCTTGCTATCGAAATGCCATATCTTATCGTAGCGGCCATTGCTGCTCTTTTTGGTGCTAGACACCATCGACACAACAAACCGTTCCAGCTCCGGGACCTTGGAAGCGGCGTCGACAATGTTGCGTCCCTGTTCGTACTCAAGCTCATACGAGAGTTGGCCGATGTGCTTTCCTTGCTCCTGAGCTTTGGCCTGATTGTTCTTGTCGAGATAAGGCGTCCAAAAATCTGTTACCGAGAAGATGGCGTGTGCTCCCTTAAATGCCTGGAGGAGCGAAGATGGGTCATGGAGGTCGGCAACAACCATTCCAACACCCTGTGCTGCCAGTTCTCGTGATTGACTAGAAGATGGGTTGCGAGATATCCCCCTTAGACGGTACTTGGATCTCAGTTTGGGGTCATCGAGAAACGTCCGAGCTACTGAGCCGCCTTGGTTACCAGTGATACCGATAATGACCAACAGTTTCCGCTCGTCCATGACCGTGACTTTTTGTTTCTCCGCCCAGAACAATTAAAGTCAACGTGATACACAACGCTTGAGGCGGCCGTTCTTCAAAGCGTGCCTTTCTAGTTTCAATAAAGGGGCGAGGATGTACAAGGCTGATCACCCTGAGATCCTAAAACCCTGCAGGCTTAGACGGGGATACATACACGGCATTCGTGAGCCGAGAGCCCATCTCTCTTAGCTGTTAGCGTCTTGTGCCGCGTGCTCTTCAGAGAGGCGTGGAGCAGTTTCGGCAGCCGAAGCAAGAGATTCCTTGCGGAACCCGGTTTGCGTCTGCCACGATAGAGTGAAGCAACATGCACCACGTGGGCGTGTGCACCTGCAGATACTCGAACGTCTAATCACTTTTTCATCATATATAAGATGGTCAATCCTGGGGTTCCGCCGCATGAAGCATTCTACCCTGTCACTGCATTGCATATTGCAGCCGTCAGAATTGGATTTGGGAAGCCTAACCCAAAAAGGAGTTGGTTTCAAGGGCGAGATCGTCCGGGATCGGAAGAACTGTTTCACCGACGCCGACCCGCTAGCTCGAAAGCACCATGTGGAAACTTGAAGGCCTTCCTAATACGACCTTCTTGGCGCTCATCGCCGGCGCCGCGCTCGCAGCAGCAGCACCTCGGTCATCTTCATACAACGCATCTGGTAGCCAGCCCGACTATGTGATTATTGGTGGTGGGCCAGCCGGTTTCGTTCTCGCGGAGGAGCTGTCCCAGAATCCCCGGACCACCGTTGTCCTTCTGGAAGCCGGGCCAGACACTGCCGGCGAGGAGGATATCGACATCCCGGGTTATTCGCCAAACCTGTTATACACGCAGTACATGTGGAACTACACCTCTCAGCCGGATCCTAACCTCGAAGGCAATGCTCCAACGTTGGAACAGGGCCGCGGCTTCGGTGGCGGCAGTGCCGTCAACTATTTGGGTGCTTGTCGTGGCGCGCCCTCCGTCTTCGACGAGTGGGCTGACATTAGTGGAGACGACGGTCTCCGGTGGGAGAACTTCCTGAACGACTACAAGTCTACCGTTCACTATCAAGAGGTTCCCCTGGACTACGACCCGCATATCAATCCTAGCGCGTACGGTGATGGCCCACTTGAACTTACCGCTCCTCTTGAAAATCTTGGTATCGTTCTGGAACTTATCAACTCGTTCATATCCGTCCTCAAGCTTCCGTGGGTCGATTTGAATGATGGTACTGGTCTTGGTGTTGCAACTAGTACCAACGTCATTCGCGCGTCGAACCGTACCAGAGACTTTGCCCCACAGGCTTTCGGCTGGCAGTTGGCTGGTCGTCCCAACGCTCAGCAGCTTTCCAACGCTGAGGTGACCAAGATTGGTTTCAAGGGTACGCGCGCTGTTTCCGTCACCTATGTCAATCCCATCGACAACTCCACCAACACCCTTTACCCTAAGGAGATTATTGTCTCCGCCGGTGCCCTCAATAGCCCCAAGGTAAGAGAGAAATTGTACTCTTTCTTTGGCAATACACTGCTAAAGTTTGACCTAGCTTCTCATGCTCTCTGGCGTTGGTCCTGGAGACCATCTCAGGTCCCTTAATATCCCTGTTGTCGCTGACATTCCTCAACTCGGCAAGAATCTGTAAGACATCTCCATGTTACCCGTTGTGGATCGACGCAGTTCTAAATGACGGTTTCCAGACGTGACCACCACTGCGCTTTTATGTCGTTTGAGGTTACTTCGCAGGTGGAGACGCTGTGGCAGTATACCCAGAACGCCACATTCGCCGCCCTCGCGGAGGAGGAGTATATAAATAACAGCAGTGGTCCCCTCAGCGTCCCTAATGGTGCAGCCTTCGCGATCTACCGCGCTCCTGACTCCGTCTTTGAGGCCGTGGACGACACTTTCCACACTTCTCTGCCCGCTGACCGTGGCCAGTTGCTGTTTCAGTATTCCACCTCGACTTTCCAGGCCACCACTCCCAACGTCAGCATAGTCTCCCCCTTTGTTGGTCTAGTTCAGCCCCAGGATTCAGGTTACATGCTCCTGGCTTCGGCTGACTACCGCGATGCGCCGCTGGTTTATTCCAATTACTACGGTTCTGCCGGTGCGTGAACCTTGATGAAAAAGAAAAGTCTCACTTGATCAGAAAACACTGACTGCATCTCGCGTGCCCAGGTGACAAAGCCGCCATCCTCCACGGCTACAAGCGGATCCGCGAACTATTCTCCGATCCATCGATCACGCCCCTGCTCGTCAGGGAGCTCTATCCCGGCGCGAATGCGACGTCTGACGACGACCTGTGGCACGCCATCAGTGGACTCTCTCTCTCTCTCTCTCTCTCTCTCTCTCTCTCTCTCTCTCTCTCTCTCTCTCTCTCTCTCTCTCTCTCTCTCTCTCTCTCTCTCTCTCTCTCTCTCTCTCTGTCTCTGTCTGTTTTTCATGCATGTCATCATTCGATAGCACTGACCAGGGACACTTCCAGATGGGTACCGTCGCCCTCGGCACCGTGGTGGAGGGGAAAACCTGGAGAATCAAGGGCCTCGACGGTATTCGGGTCGTGGATTCGTCCACCTTCCCCTACCCGCCGACGTGCCATCCGATGGCTACGGTTTACGCATACGCGCAGCACGCGGCGCAGCTGATCAGGGAGCAGGACCGGTAGAAGTTACTCGGGCGGTTTCGGTCACTTCTATGTACCTATCGTATATATTTTGGGTTTCGATATCGCGGTCTATGGGATTTTAATGTTTGGGTAGCGGTTTGTCATATGAGATTTGTAAGTTTTTTATTCCCTTTTACTGTAACTTTAGACATAATTACAGCTCCATCTCGTTGAAAATGGTATATGCGCCCTCTACCAATGTCGCCTATTGATGCTAGTGTGCTCCGTAGCCATAGCTGCCAGCCTGTTAAACAGCTCTTCAAGCAGATTTTTCATAGATTCAAATAATCAAAAGGTGATTCACCGTTCGAATGGGGTGTACCGACGATTCTATTGGTGCATTTTTTTTCTCCCTTCATAAGCGAGAGGTTGTTACTTCTATCAAAAATTCATCTCAATTCCTCCGCCCGTGGCCAAAATTAAATTTTTACATTTTCATTCATCTCGGATTCAGCCCTCGACAAGCCTGCCATCCGCCACATGCTTCTCAGACCAGCCAAAAGACATCATGGTGCCCGGCCCATCGCCAAAATTGGCATGGTCCGGGTTGACGACACTCACGTAATGCGGGTCATTTTTCACGTGGATGTAATCCCGCACATCGCGGAAGACGATTGTCATGAAGGCGTCATACGATGAGGGGTTGACGGAAGAGAGGTTGGGAAACAGGTTGTCGATGTCCTTCATCAGGTCGGAGGTGTTGTGTTGCTTTACGGCAAAGTCAAGTCAGCTTCAGAGGAGGAGCAGCGCGCCTTCCGGCAATCGGCTCACCACGGTGTAATCCACATTCTTGTTTTTCACCAGGAGATCCTTCAGGTGCCCCGCGTGGGTCTCGCTGATGTACTTGTGATAGGCGTCCTCGTCCATACCGGGTCTTCGCTTGGCGCAGATGGTCACGGCGAACAGGCGCTGGGATTTGCCCATGATGGTTGTTGTGCGTTGGATATCGAGCGTAAACGTCACACGCAGTTGGGCGAAAAGGGAAGCTCACGAAGGATCTTCTGATTGGGTCACAGGACCATCATCAATATATGGCTTGGCGAAGTTCCGCCGTGAGGAGCGGCACTCGTGGTCGAGGTTTCGCAATGGCTGATGATCTCGCCCCGTACTACACTGCCACTGTCAGGGTTTTGTGGGCAGTGTTTTCAATTTTATGGATCTAAAGATGGGTTTTCTGTGGAGAGAGAGAACTTTGGCCGGGGGTTCCCAAGTCTTCAATATCACCAGGTGAGTCAGAGTAGGGCCACATGACCATGAAAATTTCGAATTCGACGAGCAGATTGATTATCGTATTGTTTTCTCCTGAGCGCAGGTGGAGGAGATGGAGATCCCTATAAGAAGGTCGACGCGTAGAAGCCCCTGTTAACTACGTAATATGCTACTCTCGCTGCCGGTGCGCTGTCCCTTCTGCTTTAGCCCGCCTGATCGGGGTTGGCGCTGCCTCGCCGCCTTTCCCACACATAAACGACCCGCTGCTCCTAACTCTCCATCGTCTCTTCCTTTCTGTCATCTACTCCTGCCTCCCTCTCGCTTCTGGCTTGCTGCGCCGCCGTCCTCGGGCCTGTACGGCAATCAGCCACACTGCTCCTGCTTTCCTTCATACGTGCGAACCACCAGCGCCGCGTGTTCACTTTCACACTTTAGAAAGGAGCCAGAGGAAAGCCTTCTCCTAACGTTCGACCCACGTATGTAAGGCGTACGAGCTGGCCACGCTATCAGGCGTATCAGCCAAGGGCCCTAAGCATAAAGACTGGCATTCCCACATTCTATAGAAGGCCAGCTTTCTGTTTTCCTTCCCTTTGGAGAGACTGCCATTGACCCATCACTTTATCTATACGATTGGTGTGCGTATCCATCGCGAATACGTAGCTCGGTCTCTACTGCCCGCTTGCCCGGCAGTGCCCCTATCATAACGCTACTCGCCGAGGAAACTCAGGATAATCATCATGGCGAAATGTAGAGTGGTGGTTGAACTTCTTTAAGCAGATTGCCTAATAAGTTTGGTGGGTAATTTACCCCTTGGAACTCGCTGAGGCGTAGGCCTGCATTAACCCGCCGACTCAATTCTCCCGTTCTCCAAGCCTATCAAGGACACTCTTCCTTGACGTGTTGCCACAGCCTTTTTCGATGTGCCACTGGCAACGAGTGGCGATGGCGACGTGGAATGGTGGATCTCTGTTGTTGACAAATTGGTATCGCTTTGCACGCGGCAAGAGGCTCAGTACCACAGACCTCGAACAAGAATAACCCAGATGTTGGGAAGCTCTTCAGACAACGCTGGTATGAAAAATACCAAATCTGAGTCGGACGACTCAGAGTCTTCTGTCGGTGATCTCTTCCCTCTGCGTTGCCAACCCTTTCAACGCCTTCACTGTCTTGGTAATACTCGTCTTCATTTGTACGAGCGACGGCGGAACCTAGACAGCAGATATTCTTTGCTGCGACATTATGCCTGTCAGCACCCCTTTCAGCCAAGCAGTCCTGTCCTTTTCCCCATATTGCATGCGCTTAAGTCACGTTCAGCAGTGTGATACACTTCCAAAATCTTGCGGTGACGATTCACGGAAACAACATATCTGAAAAGGATCAGCCGGCCCGGTTACTGAGGCTTTTGATCTCGGTTTTCAAGGATATTGGAGCCCGGAACCTGATCAAGATTTAGTCATTCTAAGCTTCTCGATATGGAGAACAACACGTTATCCCGCTTCAGCTCAAAGTGGCTACGCAATGAAAGCAAACATTTTCCGACACCCTCAATTCATCACCATCAAAATACGACATACGGAACCCACGAAGCTCAACGCCAAATTATGAATTAAAGGGACAACATTATCCCTAGCATCATCTATTTATGTGTCCACTCTAGCTTTCGCTTTTTAAGGGATACACTGATTCCCTCACTCTTGTTCTGCAGGTTGAACTTAAATAGTGTAGTCCTCTCTCTATCGTGAAACTACTATCAAGCCTACTTTCGGCTGTTTCTCTTATCAGCACTTGCTATTTGTTCGTATTAAGCCTGACTTAAAAGGGCAAACATATACTAACAAGAATTACTTACCTTATAAGTATAATAACTAGTCTAGATATCTTAGCTATATCTTTTGTAGACTATTTTAAAAATAGAAGTACCTTAATAATAAGTAATATATAGTGTATTAAAATGTATACTAAGAACTATAGTATTAATAAAAATAAGTTAATTAATATCAGCTTTATTACTTAGCTTTTTTATAAGTTTAAGGACTAAATCCTTTAACTATAATATTTAAGAGACTTATAAATTAGTTGAAAAAGAAAAAAATCTAATAATTATTAATGTTTATAACTTAATATTAAGTTTAGATAAACTAGTCTAAAGATTATATAATATAAGACTAATATTTTAAAAGCTATTTTTAATATTTTTAATTACTATTATATTAAAGTAAGCAATCTTAAAAGTAAAAAGAAACTTAATCTTAATAATATAATTAATATAGGCTTTACTAAAACTCTTAAGTTCTTTATTATTTAATAATCTTAATATCTCTTATAACCCTAATTAATCCTTATTATAATTATTCTTTCTTGTAAAGTTTAGCGTTATAAAATACCTATATTTAGCAGTAAGATTATTTTTGTAGCCTTAGTATTAGGAAAATCAAAATTATGGAAGAGTGCTATAGCCTTAGTATTAAGAACATTAAAATTTATTAAGATTTAGTTATAATCTTAATATTAAGAACATTAAAAGTAAATTATAAGAGTAAATCTTAAATTAGTTATATTAGATTAATTACTAGAGCTTTAAATCTAAGAATAATATTATTTAATAGTTCTCAGAGTTTTTTATCTAAATAACTTATTTACATTTTTATATAATTAATATTTAACTTAAAACAAAAATAATAATAAAAAAGTATAAGATATAGAAAAATTATAGCAGATATAATTAGACTATTATTATATATAAAAGTATATAATATAATTTATAAGCAATCTATATATATAAGTAACCCGCGTATCTTTCTTTTATGTCATAACTTTTTAATTATTATATATAATAATACTATAAAAAAATCAATTA